ATCATGCTGCAAAATGATTCTCTGATTCTAATTAAACCATCTCTTTCAGTGTTTTGCCTCATTGGGCCATGAAGCCAAGCCTTAGATGAGGACTGCGTTAACACATTGCCCCCATTATACAACAGAGAGATCCCAAAAGTGTGAGATTTGGGGGCGGAGGAGGTCTCACTCCATAGCTCAGTAAGAGATACATTCCACTTCCATAACCTCATGGTTCCAGCCTGGGGAAATCTGGGAGAGATTCCCCCAGTTCCCCGCTTTCAGCCCCGACCCAAGCACCACCACGACTGTGGGAGATGCAGTGCCAAGAGTAAGCGGAAGCGTGTCCGCCAGGGACGAGGCAACCAAATGAGCTGCTGTCGTCACGCCTAGAACAGAGCTTATAGCTCCTGTATTGATGGTGATTAAACAATGTCCCTTTTTGTGCGGTGTCGTGGAGCACTGAACTGAGCTAGACTCACACTGTAAATCACAAAATATCTTGCATCTCCCCTTCACCCCTCTCTGCAGCTCCTTTGGAGCCTTGTTGCTAAATAACTGCAACAATTCAAGCTGGAGAGATTAGATCACCCCAGGGGTCCGTACAGCAGAGCCTACTTAACACCAGCCAGTAATCTGGCATTACGCACGCTTTGGGACAGCAGTCTATAAAAACACACCGAGAGCACGCTGGCGGTTTCCATGCACTGGTCTGTGTGGACAGGGTTGCCTGGTTCAGCTATTTTCTATTCTGCAAAGGCCCACTTGCTCCTCAGAGTGAGAATTTGCTGTTCACGTGTTGCAGCCTGCTATGATTCAGAGCAGCTTTGCTGTCGCCCATGCTCAAACCATGACTTTGCCCCTGGGTACCAAGCCTTTTTCTCCCTGATGGCTACCATGGCCTCCTAAACATGTCCTGGGCGGTCACCCATTCACCCCATCCCTTACCACCATCTGACGGCACTGCATAACCCTCCCCCCTCCCCAATCTGGGCTTGCTAAAATGAAGTCATCTGCTGTGTCTGGCTCTCTGTAATAAGCAAGAGGATTTTGGAGGATATTTCTCTCAGCTCTGTTCCTCCCTCCCTGCTAAAAGTGGATGCTGCCTTGTATCTGCTGCACTCGTAATGTGGAGGAATAGAAAATCCTTTGGCGATGCCAAATATAAAGCAGCCGTTGAACCGTTTCAGTCTGTTCCTTGCCAGACACAGCCCCAGCATGCTGTCGCCACCGCTCACGCTCTCCCTTGCTTTGTCGGAGGCAGAGCAGAGCCTCCCCGGTCCCGAGCCCCGACATACGGCAAAGCCCCCGCTGAGCTGCGGCGAGAGGGACACCGCAGGCTCCTGTAACACAGCCCGCAAGCCTTTGTGCAGCTGCAGGTCTTTAAAGCCTGATGAAAGGGCTGATAAGGCAAAAACAGCTTTTGCATACTAAAATGGACAGAAAACAGGGCACCTGAGTATATAAAAAAAGACCTTAAAAATGAAAAAAAAAGAAAGCCCATGTCTGATATGGTCATTAGCATAAACTCCAGGGTGGAGCATTATCAGCATTGCTCTGATAAGGGGAGGAGTGCATATGTTAAGAGGCTGACTCCCCCGGCTGGGCTGTGGGGCCCTGGAACACATGGGATGCTATTTTTGCTAATTCCATGGTAAAAGGCCCTTTCCTAAACAAGGGTATTGTGCTCTAGGAATGACAGTACAGTCTGGTTTATAGTAATCTTTCTGAAATACTCAGAGACCTCCTGATGAGAAGTATTACAGTAAAAATAGGTATTCTTAATTCCTTCTTTGTCGCCACCACTCCAGGTGCAAAAGACAGTCCGTAACAGAGTCCCTAATATATCTGATCAGAGCATCAGCCAGTAGCAGATATTCAGCTACACTAATGTGCTGAAGGATGATCCTGAGGAGGCCTGAAGTCTTAAAATAGAGACAATTTCCAATTTATGTTGTGTTATTGTGATATGCCAAGCGTGAGATCCCAAATGCACCACAAATAGCATTTACTCTTTGTGTTCCAGTCTTTCTTCTGTTCAATTTTTGTCAATTGTTTCTTGCATTCTTAATTATTAGCGAGGAAAGATAATGCATGCAAACACTGTGGGGTAAATACTTTTTCCAGCCAGGCAACAGCAGACCCCAGAGATAAGTTTTAGCCTGCAGCGCAGGTTATTAGTTATACCGGGCAATTATAGCCCCTGTGACTAGCTGAGCTGCTCCTATTACAAACATGAGAAGGCTTTGACTTAATACCAGTAAAGTCACTCTCTCGAGGAAAATGAAGACCATTTGGTAAGGCTGAAGTATAATCAACATTTTGGAAACAAAGCCATTTAATGCCTAATTCAGATTACTTTTATAGGAGTGATGAGTCAAGAGGGAGGGAAGCATTAAATTCTTGAAACACATTTTGCCCTAAATGCTCCTAGGCAGCCACCTGGGATGTGCGTTCATCAGCTTGGGCTGGGGTCGGGGCCGGGTGCGTTTCCAAGACATTCTTTGTGACAAAGATAATCTCTTACATTTGACTGAGGGTTTGACAAGCACGGACTTGACTAACTTGGCTGTTGCAGTGTTGTTAGAGGAACAGGACTGTACAGACAAGTCATCTCCAGTGGGATTTTTAGAACTGACCCAACTGCACTCAAGTGAGGCCAGAGACAAACCAGCAGCAAGTGCTTTTGCACATCTCATCCTGTTTTTTCCCCATGAAATTCTTCAGAGCATTAGCAAGATGGTATCGCTAGGTAGCCTGCCCAAGAAGATGAAATTGAGGTTGGAAACAAAACAAAAAAAAATGCTAATTCTCTGTTATTAGTATCATTCATTAGGCTTGTTTTTCCACAAGGATTTTATCCTGATGTCTTGTCACAAATGAGTAATTCCTTCTCTTCCTCATTTTTCTCATGCGTATCTGACGTTGCTCACGCAATTGCTGTACTAGTGACTGCAAGCTTTGTATTCCTGTGGTCAAAATGGGACCACATGTGCCAGTACACCACAGAGGTGATTCAAAGAGGGAATATGGGATCTTGTGTGTTCTGTGAACTGGACTCACTAAGGGCAAATGGGATGGTTATCTAGTATGAGTACTTTGGAGTTCCACTTCAAACCGCTGCAGAAGTCAGGAGAAAATCCAAGGGAGGGACAAGCCCTGTGTCTCCCCTCCCAGCCAGTCCAGCTGCTGCTGCTGAGTCAGCCAGGGATGCAGGGCACTGAGGTGGACCAAATGGCAGCTGCCAAAAAGGGCATGGAACAGACATGCCTGGAGAAGTTACCTGGAAGAGACTAATATTTAGGAAAGATTTAGAAAGTCTTTAGAAAAATACTCTGTGGGAGGCACATGCTTACTGAGGGTAGCAAAGCAACGAAAGAGGCTGGGGTGATGCCTTCGCTTCCTCCATCCCTGGAGCCAGCTCGCCGAAGGCAGCACAAGTGCTCTGCTTTGTCTTGCTGAGATGCCTTCAAGCAGCTGAGAAAGCCATTTTGCCTCTGTGCTGCTCTTTCTTGAGCAGTGCATCAAACCCCACACTACAGCTGGTGCTGATGAATTTTTTGCCAGGCTTCAAGACCAGACCGATATCGTTGTCTCAGTACCCCCCCACAAGCTGTCAAAGAGAAGTTTCTCATGGTCACTGAACCGGTAAGGCAAAGCCTCAGAGCATCTCAGGCTCTCTGCAAAGCTCTTTCCCGTTAGTTAGGCCTGTCTCTACTGTCAGTCCTGTAAAAAATAACCACTTCCCTTTTTTCAGGGCAAGTTTTAATAAGTTTAGTCCCAGAATTGTAACGCCCCATGTAACCCTGTGCAGGAAGCGGCTAAACTTCACTCTGAAATTGTTGTTCTTGCTCCCAAATCTGTTCCTGACCTCACCACATTTATTTTACGTGGGTGTGAAATTCTCTTTGACCTAATTACAATTCCCACTTGGCATTTTGGCACTGGAAATTTAGAGGTAGAGCTGCTGAACAAAAAGTGTGTCAGATGCACTGTGGTCACCTCTGCCTTTCAGAGCGGAGATGAGCAGACAAGGGCTGCAGGCACTGAGATCATTTTACATTTAAGCCAGCGTTTAATTCTCCTAATAGCACCAAGATTGCAAGAGCTTACACCCAGGATTAGGAGACCTCCTAAATATAGGCTCGTTGTTGCAGGGAAGGTAAAAGAACAACAGAGTCGCTGAGAACTGTTCTTGAAAAACATTTATTTCTGTAATGGGTTCATAGCGCTGACTCCCAAGCCCCAGTACAACACAGTTTTCCCCCTACACATAATTCTGGGGACAATTACCTTTGATGGACAAAAAAAGCCATACAAAGAAGCCCCCCAAACAAACAGCCTGGTACCAAACAAACTGTGCCCAGGTTATCTCTGAGCCTCTGATGTTGAACATTTCATTCCGACTGGGACAGAGCTGCCCTGCTCCATCCCTCGGTCACAGCTGCAGGATGGTTCTCTGCCAGAAGGCCCCAAATAACTCAAGATGTTGTGTTTAACTGCAAAAAAAAACAGGGGGTACATGGGCAGAGAAGGCTGCTAGGATTCAGCGGCTGCTATTTTTGCAGACATCATTTAAAAAGGAAATCTATGCATTTCAGTTTCACCTCCTGAGCCCCAGCATTAGGAAAGTCAAATACAAACCCAGAGATCAATGTACACAAAATAGTGAACAAGTGTCCAGACATTTCTAAGCCCCTCAGTTTACTGTGCTATGATACCTCCAAAAGCAACAAAACCCCCATATCCAGATCATGTTGGATCTTGTTTTTAAGAGGGAGGGATAGAGATGCGGCACGTAGCATAGCAACTGTCTAGCAATGTTTAAGGCAAATTTATTCACATTTATTAAGAGTGAAAGAATTTTTTGTTTGTTTGCTTTGTTGTTTAAGCTGTTAGATAACATCTCAGCTGGACATTTAAGCTTAGACAATTCAATCAAAGTTTGAGTGAAGTCAAGTTGATCTGAGCCTAGAACAGCAAAAAATATTATTCACAAGAATATCAGTGAGAACAAATTTAAAAAATACTAAAATAATGAATGTTCAGAACTCCCTGAAAACTTTCTCCCCTCAGAGACCAGGTTGAGCCCAACTAAAACACACACAGACATGCACACATAGGAAGAAGGACACGATGGCAAGCCTCTACGAACACAGTGCTGAACAGGACCAAAGCAGAGCCAAACCTAAAGGCTGCAGATGCAAGAACATGGACAGAGTTATGAGTAAAAAAATGGGGGGGGGGGGGGGGGAACAGAACCCCAGAGAGGGATGTTTCATGAGATGGGATGGAAAATAAAAGTCCGCTGTATGCAAAGAAAGGGAGTTCTCAGGTGCACACACAGAAAGCTGGGGATTTCAGTTGCCTCATCTCTCAGTTGTGTTAGTTTGCTGTGCCTTTCCCCTCCCTTTGAGATCCAAGTGATGGTGCCAGGAGGTTCGTGCGGTTACTCAGTCTGTGCATCGTAATTAGCCCCCCCTGCTTTCTTCAGCTCATTCTTGATGTAGTCCTCATCCAGCTCTTTGTGGTCACTGATCACAAATTCTTTGGCAAAGTTCTGCAAGAGATAAAGAAAAAGCCTCTTAAAAAGGGGGATACTTGTCCAAGTACCTGAATAAAGAAGTGTTATCCAGCTTCCATGGCTTTATGAGCTGTGTACATTTATCTGCTGCAGCAGGGATGATAAACAGAAAGCTGTGGATGAGATGGAAGACTAGCGATGGCAAAACACAATACTTAACCCAGAGAAATTTTATGTTTCTACTTCCACAGTCACTGGCTGCAAGACCCAATCCTGTACTACGCAACAACTCTTCCTAGTGATAAATGCACAGCCCAGGTTAGGTCAAATTTCCTAAGTAGGATGAAAACTAAAATGCTCAAAATTGTTGACCTTCTAAATGCCACAGACCCTCAGCATAATCTTTGGCAAGTAACTTAATCCTGTCTGTGCCCTGATCTTTTTTAGGAACCCTTCTCCCAAAACAAGGAGAACAGTGCTATACCACAGTACACTACAGTACTGTACCCCAGCAGCTGATGGGGTGTCGATTTAATCTTTGATTAAAGATCGAGCAACACACAGATCATACCAGGAGCAAATAAGTCTACTTCAGTCGACTTACTGACTCCTCCTCTCAACTATCTAATACATATCATGGCCAAAACTAAGACACTGTACTAGACAGGCTGCTGGTGTTGTTAATAGGCTCCACTATGCTCTGTGGTCTAATGATCCAAAGTGGCCTTTAAGGACATGCTTTATTAATGCATTTGTGTGCTGCTTGAATGCTCTTTGCAACTTAGGGGAGCTGGGCAAGCCCTAGGCAGCATGCTGTGATGTGAGGCTGTGAACAGAGAAAACCTTTCTCAGAACAGATCGCTGTGAATGGGATACCACGGTGCCTTTAGGGCACTTGTCACTGGCAGTGTCACTACAGTCAGGGATTTGTTCCTTTGTGGGGGCTGTCCCTCCTGCTTCATAGCAAGGGTAGCATGCATGTGTGTGTGTGCGCACAGGCATTTAAGCAAACACGCACATTTGCTTCTTGCTTTAGCATTTTCCTTCACTTCCTAACCATAACTGAACACACTGCATGTGTCTTTCCCTTCCCCCCAACCCACAGAGGTTTTAGACAGCATGAAAAACACGAGCATCCATTGCACTCTGCAGGGCCAGCGACAAACTAACAACAACAAAAAAAAGAATTAAAATCCCAACAGCCCTACTGCAATGTCTATAGAGAGCTGCAATGCCTGGCTCCCTGGGCAGCGAGTGCCCTGAACGGTGATGGAGGCTGCCTAGGAGAATTAGGCAATGCTTTGAGAGAGAAGCAGTCATCTTGTCCAGGTCTCCCCAGCGCTGGAACAGCCCCGGCACAACTGGGGGGGGTTCTAATTGGTTTCAGACTCTAAGCCATGGGAGAGCTCTCTATTTGGCAGCGTCTCAAGGGTCTCAGTTTGGGATCAGAGTTCGGTAAAGGAGGGGGTGGAGAAGGACTCAGCTTGAAACAGCCTCAGCACCTCTTTCATGCGGTGGAAAAAATGGAAGGGAGAGCAAAACAGCTCCCTCCCCCATGCCAGTCTCCCAGGCTGCCGCTGATCCTGTTTCACACTGTAGGAAATCCTCACTACTGAAGAGTTGCTTACGGGCAGAAAAAAAACGAAAAGCTTATAGCAGCGACGAGAAGCCTTGTCTGCTCTGCTTTAGTTTATCAGCAGCTAGACAAAATCCTGAGAAATAACAAATCCTTCACAGCACCGTTTTGCTCCGCACTTCAATGGTCAGCTTTTCTGGTGTGAGGACAGGCAGACATTACAGGCACTCATCCATGTTGTAGCAGAGTTCAGGGAAAAAGAGAAATAAATTGTTTATTTGGAGAAAAAAAAAAGCTTTTTTTGAGATGGGAAATGAAGAGGCAGACCACACAAAACATCAGATTTGGTTATGCTCACAAGCGCCCTACTTCCAGATCTCCTGTGTGAGAGTTCTGCAAAGCTCAGCTCTTGCCAAGACCAAACAAATTATTTTCAACAATTTGATGCTCACTGAGGTGTGCTACCTACATGATTTTTGACCTGAGCCTTTTCAATTTCTTTTCTATGTGCTAACAGGTTTAACAAGTTTTCCTCAACTCAGGGAACAGATTCTCCAGGACTACGCGACTTCAGTGCTAGTCTTTGCCTTGACTTTAGTGAGAACTGGGGAAGGCCCATAAGATAATTTCTGAGAGGGATTCCATTAAAATGTGTGTATTTTATAAATGCAGGGAGGGCTTCCTTCAATGCCCAGTCTGCAGAATCCAGCTGATACTGAATTTAAAACTGTAAGTGCACTCATGCATGAACAGAGGGGAACTAAATTATATGTACCACAAAGAACTTATAATTACTCAAATGTCTTCTCAACTAGACAGTTATCCAGACGATTCCTGGGTGATGATCTGTGGGCACCAGCCACTATTTCATGTCAATGCCACTGAGACATCTTGCCAGGTTGGAGCAATCTCTCCCTAGCAGTGGCCAGATGGGTTATGTTCCCAGCCACTCTTAAATATCCTCTTAGCTGACTGGGCCACCTCTTGTGCCAGATTTGTATCCTCAGAGTGCAATCTGGGTCACTGCTATTAATAACTCTTTACTTTATTCCTTTCTGCTGGCAGGTGCTGTCAAGGGGCTTCTTTGGTTCTTCACACTGGCTCTTACCCACCATGATGTCTCATCAAGCCTGTCCTCAAGGGCAGAAGATGCTTCGGGTGAGTTTGCTGCCTGGAACTCCTGATTTCAATATCCTGCTTCACCTTTCTTCAGCCATAGCTTACCTCATCCCTCTGAATTCACTGTTTGAGGTCTTTGGGGTTGAGCTTTTTCTCAGGGTGCAAATCGTAAGGTGAAGGGAGGCATGAAAGTACTTTAGAGACAGTTGAAACTGCCTCTTATGTCATCAAGGCAGGAACACAGGAGTGACTCTGGCTCTCAGATCAAGAGACTGGGCACTCATGATCAACAGGAGCACTTTTCAGCCCAGGGCCATCTTACCCAGAACTCACTCTTTTTTTGTCCCCGCTGAAACTGCCAGAATATAAAAATACTCCCAACTGATTTAATTTGGTCTGATGTTAGCTAGACCAGGCCATGGTACTTATTCGACATGACTATCATCTGCAATTATAAATAACTGATCATAGCGAGTTGGCTCTTGCAAAGCACCAGGAAAGATCCCAGATTTAAGTGGCTAACAGCAATGCCAACAGGCATGCAACTTCAGTCAGATTTCTGTTCTGCCACCAGGTTTTCTTTCTGCCCTTAAGTGCCTGGGGTGGGGAAAGTCCCTGCTTTCTCTTCTCTCACACATACCCATATCTAATGCCTTTTAAGAGAACTGCAGAACAGTTATAGCTGCCTAAGGCACAGAGCATAACTCTGATGCTTGGGCCCTCGCTTTGCTGACATGCCTCTTCATTTTACGTCCTCCACTTCCTTTTCTCTTCTCCTCCCCCTACCCCCGAGCTTTTTACAACCGAAGCAAGCCCTTCGAGTGAATTCTAGCCTTTGTATTCATCCCAGAGTCACCAGCAGCCTACAGATAACAAAAACAATGATGCCATTTATCTTTATCGCTCTCACGACACAACAGTGACCACAGTCTCTTTGCTTTGCCTCTCAAATCATTGAACACAACGTAAAAAGTAAGGTTTACTCAGCGTTCTTCAATATACCTATCTAGCACGCGCTTCACTTTGTGCCTGAGTAGCACAGGGTCACAATTTTGCAATCCAATCCCCTGTGTCAACCCCCATGCAACACTACACAAATAAAAGGGCTCCAACCACACAGGTCAGGTTGCAAAAACTGAGCCTGCACCTCTCCCTGGGAAGCATGAAGTTTGTGCAGCAAGCTCAGTTCAGCCTTTTTCTTCTAGACAACTTTATGGGGGGGGGGAAAGGGTGGAGTAGATTTTCTTCCTATTCCAGGCCCTGAATGTTTAGCATATGGGGCCATAAAATTTCCCTAAGCTGGCCAAGGGAAAATCTGTCTGGTGCAGATACTGTACCAAAAAGGTCTGCAGAGGCCCTTATAAATCCCAGCATGGGTAGGCCTGAAGCCAGAAAGAAAATCCTTGTATTGTCTACAGACACATGGGTTCTTAGCAGCTAGGGACGGTGCCAGGTAGTTGAGCAGCTTCTTGCTGTTTTTATTTACACTGGGCTTGCAGCAGCCTCCATTGATGTTCAAAATCTTCAGTAACGCTGTGCTTAATGTCACCAGTCCCATCCACTGGTCATCTTATTTTCAGTGCAGATGCAGTACAAAGGAGGTGGCATCTCCCATGTTTCTTTTCCAGCACGGTATGAGTCCTAGACCTGTGGTCAGGGGGAAGAAAGGACAAGTCCTATGGCTGCAGCAGAGGTACGTTCTAGCAGGGCTTCTCTGAGTGCAAGGAGAGTTATAGAGTGACAAGCACCTACAGCAATACAGTACCACTGCCCATCACTCTACGCTGGCTACACCAAACCTGGTCCTGCAATCTACTATCAGAGTCCAAGCTATCAGCAAAACCCCTTCTCTTCAAATTTACTCCTTGCGAATTTTTGCATGGAACTATTCCAGTGGCTGGGAGAAACCAGCCCAAACCTCTGCCAAACACATCTCTCAGCAATGAGAACTGCATTTCAGCTGATCTGCAAATTCTTCCTATCTGTGCTGCATCCCACTGGAAAAGTCACAGGGCTGTGTGTCAGATGTGGGGTGATGAGAGGCTGCTTATTCTGGCCTGAAGAAGTTACTTACAAAGTTACCACTTTCTCTAGACTAGGACTAGGAGTTCTTGCAAATCCATATCCATTTGGTATGGTCATTACAGTAAACCAGAATAGGAAAATCAGCCAAAAAGCACAATTCTGCTTGCCTTCCCAGCACTATCTTACTCTCCTGAGAAAGACTTTCTCAAAGCCACCATGATACAGCCATTACTATAGGAGTTTGATTTTCTGACTGCCTCTAACAAAGCTATTAAGTCATCTTCTGTTTAGGCCAATGTACTAACGTGAGAAACCTAATGCACATATAAGGAGTTATATGTGTTGTATCTGTCCTGTGACCAGGGCCAGTAACCCCATAAGTGGGTCCTCCCTCATGAGGTACCAGCATCACTGCAGTGAGGAATCCAGAGGAAAACAGAAAAGAGAACAAAAAAAAGATCTGGCCATGACCTCCAAAGCAGGAACTCAGTAAACTTGTTGACATCACTAAAGCCAGGCAAATTCCTCACCAAAAATAATAATGAATAAAATGCCACAAATATTTGCTCACAGAAACAGAGCTGTTTTACCCTGCATATGATTTAGGCAAATAATAGAGCACATGACTTTGTGGGGGCAGGAGTGCTGATGAAAACAGAGAAGAGTCAAAATTAATGGAAAATAAGACAAACTGGCAATGGTTGGGCAGTCCCTTTGCTGCGACAGTCCTGCAGGGGAATTCAGTCCTGTCAGGAAAAAGACCTCCACACTGCCTAACGAAGGGTTAAAATCTCCTGGTAGGAAATGCAGTCGTGAAGAGCTGTAAATTCACAGAGAGGAAGCAACGCTTCAGAGGGAAACCAAGTCCTGCTCTCAGTTCTTCAGCGTTTACGTCAAAACCCGACCACGATAGCACCGGTTGCCGCTCCCAGCCCCACAACTATTATGCCTGGGCTTGTCATTACCGAAGAAAAGCACCGTAACATCATCCCTCTGCCTCTCCTCAAAGTGAATGGGGCTGTTCACTGGAAGGCCTGATGCTCCTGTACTTAAAATCCACAGCTGCCAGGTTTCACCTTGCAGGAATTTTTATGGCTGAGTTGAACCTCTGCTGGCAGCCGTTCCTGGCCATGACAAGCAGCTTACAATATCCTTGATTTCTGGGCTTAAGCTGACCGACCTGTTTCTCCTGGGCCTCTGGAATAAAAGAGGTCAAAACAACACCCCTCAGAGCACAGAGTCTCCTGGATGGATTTGTACTAAGGCTGAACAAGCCAGAGCTTGTGCATATAAAAGGAGGTAAAAGGCAGAACCATCCTTATTGCCAGGGCCATAAAACATGAGTTTAAGACCAGCTCTGGATGACTTCCTTTTTAGCCAAGTAGAAAATATGCCCAAAGCCCTTCCGCCCAGATGGTATCTGCTGGCAGCTGGGTACAACCTCGGCATGACAACTGGTGGCTCACAGCGATCAAACTGCAACTCTGCAGAGGACACAAATGCTGTGGGGTCTGCTGCATCTATGGCTCACTGCAAGTATCTGACAGCTCACCCACAAGCACAAAGTAAGACATGCTACTGCTGATGACAAAATAGATGCAGCCATGTAGTTTAAGTCATCCTGGCTTACTGTTTCATACAGTTCCTTAGCTGTTAAGTTTAGATCATTCTAGATCTAGGTTTAGACTGTACCCCAGAAATTAACTCAGAAACAGTTTAGAAACAGCCTGCAAAGCATGGGACATTCTGTGCTACTGCCCCCCACCCCCAGGTCTGTCCTTAGCCTAAACAGAAGCTCAGTGGAGAAAAGATGGGATACTGCATCACCTTACTCCATGTCTTCATTTACACAGGAAACTCTCCACACATTAGTACTTAGCTATACCCTTAAGAAGATATAAATACTTGTTCCCCATCCTGGCCTTACTTCTGACCTGCTCTCAGCTGAACTACTCGGACCAGGTCACAGGCTTGATCCAAGATTTCCAGCTGAGGTAAAGAGGAAAGGATGAAAAATAAACGGCTGTGAAAAAAAAAAAAAAGCTACTGAATGTTCCTTAAATGCAAAATGCATTTTTCTACAATCCAAAATAAATACAATAAATGCAAACCCCATTTTCCAACAACATTAAAGAGGTAATAAGGATAGTCCCAAATAAGCAAGAAGACCTGATTCTCAGCTAGTACAGATCAGAACTATGGCTATTTGCACCAGATAAGATCCATCCCTGTAATTTTACAGTTGATACAGCTAAAAGCCAATTGTCTTTTCTTCCTGAGAGATTTTCTGGCAACCTCCTCCTCTGACTACCAGCATTGCTTCCCAAGACACGTCTCTGTAGATTTCATGGCACCTGCTCCTCCTTCCACAGGAGTAATACAGAAGTGGGGGCAACCCAGTTCCACTCCTGGCTTTATAATATTTCATCCTTTTGTTCACAAGCCCATAATCTACTCTTCAACAGTTAATATCCGTTACGTTTCCTTATGGCAGGTGCTTCTAGGAGACTCTTAATAATCACCGTGTGTGAACACCCTTTATCCTACAGATGCAACACGGTGGGTTTTGTTTGCTAGGAGGTATTCAAAGGCTTTCACGTTGAGTGTCTCGGCAGAAGAACAATGTTTATTGGCATTTGTTCAACTTTGAGCAGAGCTCAACCATAGCTCGTCAATGCATCTACAATGCAGCAGAGAATATAACGCAGGCGTGCCCTCACACTGGAGCTTTAATCTTAAATGGAGAGCCACATTTAGCTTGTGCAAATACTACAAGATAGCAAGCACCCTTCACGTTTTACTGAGGGCTTCTCAGACTGAAGAGCTGTCGTTCTGGAATCCCAACCAATCACTTCTATAGATCACAAAATCAAAGCTGTACAAAATCTGCTGTACAAAAAGCCTCCTTGTGCCATACTTCCTTGGAATGAGAGCCATGTCACACAGGGTAAGTGCACCTACGGGCCATGCACGCAACTAAAACTGCAGAGATCCAAACTGCATCAATAGCCTAGGTTCTCTTCAGGGTTTGTAAAGAACAAAATTTTCACTTTACGGTACTACTTATTCCAAATGATGAACCAACACTGAGTCAGATTTGTAGTTTATCATTACAGCAACCAACCAACTGTATTTTTCTCTGTATAACTTGCATCTCAAATAATCGCTGTAAAAATCAGGAGCAGTGGGGTGACTGGGAATGTACTTGAAGGTCAAGAGAACTAGTAAGAGTGAAATAGCTCTGGGATAAATTCCCTCCACTAAATTTCAGTTGGACTTCCTTGTCTTCTTTTTTTTGGACAGATTATCTGCAAGGTCACATGCATAAAACCAAGAAAATAGTTCTGCTTTTGTCCCATTCCACTCAGAGGGATGCAGTTGCACATGTAGAACTATTCAAAATAGTTGTCAAGATAATTTCTTATGGAAAGGAGATCACCATTGACATTAGATTCAGAAATGCTTTGGAGTGTGTTATAGACATCGTTGCTCAATAAAAGTATATTGAGCACAAAAGTATATTGTATTGTTTTCATATTTTAGTACAGATTAATTGGAATATGAATGCTTTTAAGTAATTGGAATATGAATGCTTTTAAGTAACAGCCAAGAATGGTTAATGTTCCACCAGCTTATTAACTCATACAGGCTACTAATCAAAGATGAAACAAGTGAAATTGCAAATTATATGTAACAGACCTGAGGGACAGATCTTAGAACAGCATTCAGGAATGCTATTCAAATCAACAGGAATAAATAGTCTAACATATTTTTTCAGAAATCTTGGGCTTAGTGACTCTTATATGAGTCATTCATTAGTACTCTGTAATTTCATCTTCAGCTACAATTACAGAGTTTCAGCTGCTTCACATGAACGGAGATTTGCTTTCCTATCTCTCAGGTGTCATCATGGAAGTTTCTTATCAGAATGGAATCCTCTGTGTAGTTGTCATTTTGAAAGATTTAACACCAGTGCTTATCTTCTGGAAGGATATGAATTTTTTACATTTTTCATGCGTCTTATCTAAATATAATCTACCAATGAATTGAAGGGGACTTCATTCTCATCCTTCATATTGTCCTACTGGAAGATTTCTTTACATAGGCAAGAACACAATTATTGAGGGAAATTATTTCAATGGTCAGTGTGTTCTCCAAGTGCAGTAAGACCATTTCTCAGGCATTGGAGAGGTTTAGTTGAAAAAGCTAATCTTGCTTTAAATACTTCTTCAGAGGAAACTATTCACTTCTCTTGAAGCAGTTGCTTGTTTTCACTCGTTTGGACTGAGCCTGGAGCCCAACAACGCGAGCCCAGCTCAGAGTACCCCGGGAGGCCTTGACAAAGTTAAATGATAAGCTCGGTCAGGGCAGACAAATTCCAGTGAAACCCTTCCAAGGTGTGTACTAAGCACATTTCTCTTTTTCCCTGATACGCCCAAAGCCAAACAGAAGACTATTCAAATCTAGTTAGCTATTAAGAGCTGTTAGTTAATTGGTACTGATAGGGACTTCAGACTTTTGTTGATTAGGTCTACAAATTCGTTGTGCTGAGACAAAAGGCCTCAAGAGAAAAGTTTAAACAAGGGCGTGGGTTCTTCTGTTTCATTTTACCTGCTTAACTTAATATTGCCTTGTTCTCTACTATTCAGTATTATATTATTTCCATATCAAGAAAGGAGATGGGGAACATCTTAACGGTGACAAGGAGGCGAGTGCATATATTCCCTCTTCATGAAATAGTTAAGACAGCCTTAAGCTCAAAGGTGCTTCTTTATGTCTGAGTGTGCAAAGGGCAGATGATAAGTCTTCCTAGTAGAAAGACAGGCAATAGGAAACCCTCTTTTTTTAAAGGATTAACTACTAAGTTGAAGGGTGATGCAATCCTTCTCCCTGTCTTACCTCCTGCTGGTGTTTCTAGAGCTAAAAGGGATGAGAACTGGTGGTTAGAAGCAGACGTAAGAGGTTACCTGTACTACTTCTTTGACCAGAGTCTTGTCGGTCCCAGTTTTGGCTCTCTGCAGGCCACTGACATCCTCTCCAATCCAAGTGATGAGGGCAAACTTGACTCTTTTGCTCATGGCATCGCCGGTGGTGAATCGGACAAAGCCAAATAATCGAACATCATCTGGAAAGACAAAGCAACAAGGGTAAAGTGATGGAAAGCAGAAACATCCCTGCCTTGCCATTTTCCAGGGTGATACTATTGCTCTCAACTTAAAGGCCAGGTCAAGGTACTGATCCTGTGTTACAACAGCATTGTTCTGGGTTAACAGGGCAATACAGGGGCTCTGATCACATGCCCTTCACTTGCAAGCTGCACTTTGTCAGTGTTAGGTCTGCCTCTTCCTAGGGTGCTCTGAATTACCAGGAGGAATCTGGCTGTGCCGCCCCCCCCACGCCACATCAGTGTGCTGCTAATAAGATTGGAAACGGCTAAAATACAGCCCACAGGCAGCTCAAGAGCACAGAGCTAACCCCAGTTACATTCAGCCAGACCATTCATCTGCAGGTCACTGGTCAAGAAGGGAAGAAAGTGATTTCCCAGTGTCTCTCTCTTACAGGATAGCAGAATTAGGGTCACATTTTATAACATATATCCAGAAACTGGCCATTGTGTACATCTGATCCTTTACTCTCCTTCCCTTCAGCAACATTTCTGTCTCACTTGCGGTACGAGTTTACAAGAAAGAGGGGAGAAGAAGGAGCAAAAGAAAAATCTGCAATTACTTCCCCAGATGTGCTTTTCTACTCCTTCCAAAGGCCTGGGATTTTAAAACTGTTCTGATCTTTGTTTCACAGCTGGTTTCTGCTATATCACGCCAGACTAGAATTATTTAGTCTGGCCATATGTGTAAAAACCTTATAAACTCCTTGTCTCGAAGAGTTCGTTCCTTCATTGCAGGGTGACTCATCAACTGAGGCAGTTGGACGCCTTCATGATCACAGGCGCTTAGAAAGCGTGTGATACCATCCACTCATATCCCCAGCCTCAGTAGCATGCACAATACTGGAGCCTTCAACCAGGATTGTGCAGAGCAGATGGACAGTTGTGCAATCATGGAATATACCTAATCATAGCTACTTCATCTGTTATAGGTCACTCAAGACCTTTTAAATGAAATGAGATGACTCAAGATAGAAGAACAAACTTGCTCTTTGAAAAGAATTATGTTAATCCTGCTTACACTTGTTGTGACCAGTTCAACATGTTTTATAGTCATTTGCTGTCTTGACTACTGCCAGGTGAAAATGCAGGCTTCAGGTGTAGTAATGTTTGCCAACAGCCCCTTCCTTGGATCCGTTACAGCATGCTCCATGAACGGTCAGGACAGCCCCGGGAGCTCCGGGGACAGGCAAGAAGCAGCTCTAAATTGCTCATCTCCAGAAAACAAGCTGCTAGAAATCAATGCGAAAGTGGGATATTCTCTGAAAGCTGACAGATCTCAAAGCTTCTTTAACACTTTGTTTTGCCAAAGTGTGAGTAAAGACAACTTTGCCTTGATAAAAGATGTTTTTAAGTCTGAAAAAAACCCCACCTATGCTCTCCCTGTTTTGTTCTCTGTGTACTTTTTTGCCACTGACGGAGGACTACTGGGGAAAAATGGAAAATGTATGCAGGGGTGTGTGTGTGAGCCAGTACAATGTTTAAAACAAACTCCTCTGGAGATTTCAAAATTGAAACAAAGAGAAAGAGGTACCTTATTCAAAGGAAAAACCTAGATGGATCTTTGGAAAGAGAGTAAGTCATGTATCGACAGCTCACGCAAACAAAACTTCTCAGATACCTTATTACTGGCAAGTACAAGAAACGCATGGAGAGACTCCTGGTTCTGACAGTAAATCCTCTTGCCAAGATTGATTAGAACCATAAATGAACCGACAGCCAGGAAATACCCAAGGTGAAGAGAGACAGTAAATCCCCTAACGTTACTATTAACAGTTCTATGAAAAAACCTTGCTTTCCCAGCTCTGACAGTAAAGGAGGCCACACTCTGCTAAGAACTGTACTGTGGTTCCTATGGGAACCCAGTGCTGAAGGCACTTTAATGTCATCACATCAAGTCCTGGCCTCTCCTATACTGTAACCGTGTCACAGCCCTTCCCATGGACCCATCACTTTCCACCTTCAGTATGTAGGGTTTTCATCCCTGCCCCTTCTACCCGAGGTTGTTACAGGTCCCGAAGACTGGTTTGGAATATGCCCCTTTATAATAAAGATAATGCAAAAATATAATGAATGTGAAGAATTCCAAGTTTTTCTGCACTGCTTTTTCAGAGCAACCTAGAAAGGAGTTTGGAGAAATTTATCTGTCAGCATGAACTTTAATTTGACATGAACCCACAGATAACAGGCAGCAGCAGGATTTGCTTCTCGGCAGAAGAGTTTGAGTGCTCTCCTATCCTGTCTGAAAGCAGCTTGATCCGTGGCACCGAAGAGAGCCAACGCAGCAATTCCACGTGGGCTTTTATCTATTAGATCCCCTACTACTCAATGACTGTGAGCAACTCTTACTTCATCACGTTAAGTCCCAATAAGTTTAATGAGCAACTGAAGTGAGATGTGGGGCTCTGAGTCACTGTCTTGGGCAGAATTTACCCGAGGCAGGTTTACCTGTGGGGGCTTGAAAGGTTACACCCGAGCAGTGTGCTTTCTCCTCCTGCCTCCCCATGGAGGTTCTACCCCCACAGTAGGCAGAACAGGCTCTTCAGCTGCCAGTTTTTAGTCCAGTGTATTTAATACAAACTACCAACACGTGACGCTTTAACTTGATGTGCCAGTCGGAGAACTGCAGCAGCTGAGGAGCATTTCAGCAGCTGCAGATAAAGCCAAGAGGGACTGTGAATTGGAGCCCTGAGCAATTAACATGTCTCTATTCCTAGAAGGGCAACAGGGACAGACGTGGAGATTTTTAGCGCTAGTTCAGCCTGGGTATGAGCCCTTCCACCTGCCAGTCAAAATCCCTAAGCAGAAGTGGTTGAGTTTCACAATTAGTCTGAAGCATGTTCAGAGCGATAACGGGATCAAAGCACAAATTCGTTTATACTCCCAGCTTTCCTCTCTCACAGTTAATCGGTTCTACCCTACCAGATCACCTCGCTGTGCTGGAAGTCATCGAGGCCATCAGTGCCAATTTCCCTAGAAATCTCAAGGCATTAATATCCCCCCTTCTCCCCTCCCGAACCACTTACAGTGGTTTTAGGAATTGCGGGGGGGGAGGGGGAAGTCTAACAAATCATAGAGAGACACTAGATTTCCTCTGAAAGAGGAAATCCTGCCTAGCTCTGTGCAACCATCTTCCTAGTCATTAAGCCATGAATTTCAGGGCAGAGAGAAGCAAATAATAGATCTGGGTAGAACGGAAATAGCAGCTTTATTCGTGAAGGTCTCACTAGTTACAAACAGCAGAAATTAACAACGTTAATTCCTATTAATATCACTACTCCTTTAACTACGGCTGTACAGCAAGACAATAGGGCTATACAAACAATGAATGCCTTAATGAGCATCACTTAGTATTTTTCTCCAAACCCCTTACTTATCAGTAGGCAGGATTTTCCAAATACACTGATTAAGCTGCCTTTGGCTGTCAACAAAGCTCGATGCCAAGCTGTAGAGATTTCCTTGATGGTATTCTCCTCTTTTTCATTTACTCAAACGATTTGGTTCAGCTGTACTAAAAAATTCCCCATTAGATTAAAATGCACTGACTCATCAGTAAAAGATAATAGCTGCAGGAAAGAAATACACTGTCAAGAGCTTCACGGTTCTTAGTCTTACGGCTCTCAATGGCCAAGCCAGAGACGTTCCAAGATAAGGCCACCGCTCCCAGCTTCACCTGCCTGCTAAATCAAGGTCACGTACAGCGAGGCAGCTGATGGAACGATCCACTTTTGTGTTCCATACAACAATGAATTACTGATGGCACGTGACAGGCTTCATGAAGGATTTGTTTGTTTCAATTGGATTCATTTTAGATTAATTTGTCAATTTTCCACCTCTTCAGTCACCCCTGGAGTCACCCGGCTGGAAGTGCAGACAGAAAACCTTTCCTACCTCTTACTACACTGGTTTTTCCCTCTTTAACCCTGTACTGAAGCCTGTATCTCTCTGATGCAATGCTGCCATGCAGACATGTTCATTAAGTCGTGTAAGACGAATACAAGGTGTTTGACCTCAGGACCATAACCCCAGGGCATGCGGTAGCTGAGGCACCAAACCTTTTCCATGTAACCTGGGGTGGCTGACACGAGTGCAGGGTACTCGGGACACAAGTGCACGGGGAGGATGATCCCACACTGACTTGTCTGGCTTCCTCTGGTCCAATGAAGCCACCAGCAGCGTTTCATCAGAACAAGTTGCTGCTATCCCAGTGACAGTGGTCCTCTACTGGTCTCTCTCCTGACCTGGGTATATACTTACTGGAGGGCAGAGTGGGAGAAAACAGGGGATCCAGCTAATCTTTGTTCCCCTTCGCCGAAGGAAGGAACGGTTGTGTTAGTCAGCCAGAAGTAAAGGCCAGGCAGCTCCCAAAACAAAGGGCATGCAAAAGATAAAACGCTGCTCTTTACCTGCTCTTATGCCTAGCACAGCACAGTAAAATGCAGACCCACAGCCATGCTATTTTAATTAAGCATCACAAAACTAAACTGAATACAAAGACTTACTGTTTCAGCGCAGAACTCGACCTGATGAGTTACTCCCACAAAAAATGAATGAGAATATTCCCTAAAACAACCTCCCGTCCATTGCAAGGGACAGTCTAAGCCACAGCTCCTGCTGGCAGCCAGGAGATCGCTGTCAAACACATGCCATTTCAGCTGACCCTCCCAGAAGCGCGACTTTCAGAGCGAGCAGGGAGGGCACAGGAGCAGGGAAAGGCAGTGTGAAATTCCCATAAGCCACCCATGGCCCCAGGTCTTCCTTTAAATAGATACTAGAGGAAAGCAAGCAAGATGCACATTAAAGAGGAAAAACAAAAGCAGTAGGAGACTGATTTACAAAGCCCATTTTAGCAACTTAAGATGTAGCCAAATACAGATAAGCACCTATCTCATTATATGTCCTCATGCATTTTTACAAATCTTTCCTACAACCTAAGGTGCCAACATAATCTTGGTCATCTC